TGTATGTGTGTCTCTGTGTCTGTGTCTGTGTATGTGTGTCTCTGTGTCTGTGTCTGTGTATGTGTGTCTCTGTGTCTGTGTATGTGTGTGTGTATGTGTGTCTGTGTGTGTGTGAAATGGTTTGTATAAATATAATGTTGGCGGGTTGGCGTAGTTCACACCTTTAGTCTGTGCACTAGGGAGACAGAGGCAGGCAGGTCTGTGAGTTAAGGCCCTGCCTGGTCTAGACAGTATGATTGTTTCAAAAAAAAATTTTTATTGTAATTTTTTTTCAAGCTGGGCGTGGCTGTATACATCTTTAATTCTAGCACTTGCAGGCAGAAGCGGGCAGATCTCTGTGAGTTCGAGGCCAGCCTGGTCTACAAATCAAGTTCCAGGACAGCCAGGACTGTTACACAGAGAAATCCTGTCTCAAAAAAAAAAATAAAAAATAAAAATAAAAAATAAAAAAGTAAGCCGGGTGGTGGTGGTGCACGTCTTTAATCCCAGCACTTGGGAGGCAGAGCCAGGCAGTTCGAGTTCTTTGTGAGTTCGAGGCCAGCCTGGTCTACAGACCAAGATCCAGGAAAGTTGCAAAGCTACACAGAAAAACCCTGTCTCAAAAAACCAAATAAATAAATAAATAAATAAATAAAAATTAAAAAAAAATCACAATAACTTCTTGGAAAGTGGGGAGTGTGGAGCGGCTCACACTATAGCTCAGGTTACCCTGGGACTTGCTATGTTGTCCAGGTTGACCCCAAATTCACAGTAACCCTGAATCACATGTGGGCCCATGCCTGACATGCACATCATGTAGTCAGTGAAAGTTTCAAGAGTTGGTTCTTTCCTTCCACTGTGCAGTCCCAGGTGGCAAGCTCAGGTTACCAGACTTGGGGGTGGGCGCGCATGGCGCGTCGTACCTTTCCCCACGATCCATCATCCCACTAGCCCTTATTTCCATGTTAAAAAAGACTTGTTTTCGTTTCTACACATCTGCATTAGTTCCCATGTACCACATTCATGCAAGTGTGCCCGGAAGGTCAGTCATCGAACCTAGAGCGGGGTTGTCCGGCAGTCCCGAGCCACCTAAATACAGGACTAGAGACTATGGTCATCCTCGCCTAGCTACGTACAACCTTGGCTACCAACCAAAAGGGAAAAAAAAAATTTAAGTAAGGCTGAGGAACACGCTTAGCTTGCTGGAACCCCCTAGGTTCAATTCCCAGCATTGGCTCCACCCCAAGACAGAATTCGGGTGGTCGTGCACACCTTTAATCTTAGCGCTCGGGAAGCAGAGGCAGGCAGGATCTCTGTTGAGTTTAAGGCCAGCCTGGACTACAGAGTGAGTTCCAGGATAGCCAGGAGTGTTTTACAGAGAAACCTTGTTACAAAAAAAACAAAATAAATAAATAGAGATCAACGTTTTAAGGGGAGGACGGGGGCACCCTCCACCAAGCACTGAAGATACTCCCAACCCCTGGCTGCTCCCTCACCTGTACCTGTGAGGTGCTGACTGGCCTCTTTTTGAGCACCTCACATTTCCTCTTCTTACAGATCTGGTGGCTGTTCTTTCTGTTCTTGCAGTAGGTACACTCGCCACAGTTGGTCTTCTGCTGGCAGGGCTCGCAGACGCCGCAGGGCTTGCGTTTCCTTTTCTCCCCAGTTGGCGGCGTAGTCGACTTCCGTGAGAGAGAAGAGGCGGCACTGGCCTGGGACCCTGGTAGAGGCATCCCTGCGGCTTTGACATCAGCTGAGCTGGTCAAGGTGACCTGAGAAATCCCTCCTTCCAAGTTGCTGGGCGCAGCCTGAGAGCGCTGGGTAAGATCCACCGGCGCGTGCTGGAGTCCATTCTCGGGGGCCATTGCAAACCCTCGTGTGTTCGCCGGAAAAGGGCCCGCACAAAACTGCTGCTCATCTCGGAGACTATTTGCAGCTATTGCTGGAGGTATCGAACTTAACTCAGAGTTTGGTGGGCGTTGGGGAGCATGTCCTGAGTCCAAAGTTAAAGGTTTAGCACCTTGGACCTCAAACCCACAGGAGGCAAAGCTGTGGGGCTGGGGCCCGGGAGTATTGTAGGTAGCAACTGTGTTTGGAGGCTTAGGAAGGAAGACAGGCAGGTCCGGGGAAGCTCCCACATCCACATTCATAGTTTCTTGCTGGTTTGGCAGAGTAATAGCACCAAGATCCTCCGGTGAGTCAGAGACCTTGCCCAGGGCCTCACCAGGAACTAAGTTAGCACCAGGAAATCCCCACTGAGGAGAGAGAGTACTGAAAGCCTGTCCTAGGACCGAGGTGGCGTCCAGAAATTGCTCTGGGTAGCAGCCCCCTGGATCTGGGTTAGTTCTGAGGGTTTCTTCTTGGAGTTTAGCACCAAACGTATCTGGCTGTGTGCCTGCCAAGAGGAATTTTACCAGAGCTGCGGGATAGACAGACCCATCAAGAGACGTGCAGTTCTTAAGGTCCAATTCAGGGAGGATCTTAAAACTGGAGGTGGGAAAGCAACTATGTTCACTTCCCATGGGGTTCAGAGGATTTGAGAGCTTAAGAGAGTCTACTTGTGACTCCAAGTCTCCAAACTGACTATTGATGTTTTTCTGAGAGGTGACTTCGGGAGCTGATCTTTGGGGCAAAGGCGGGCACTCCTGAGGGGAAATGCCAGCATCATCTGATGACTGATGTGGGAATAATCCTTCACAGTGTGTCCCTTCAGGTGGTCCAGAAAGGACATCTGTTGCAGGGCTCCCACATGTGGAAGTATAGCTTTGGGAATCTTCTTCTGCCCTTTGAGGCCAAGACTGGGGGAGCTCTTGGATCTCACCTTCAGCTGAACACATGCTCTGTTCACCAGTTAGGTTCTCTGTGTCTGGGGACGACGTGATAGGGTCTTGGCTGGGGACTGAATCATTTTCTGAGTGCGTTACCACCCTCTCATCCTGGGTATCCTGACTACACTGCTGCTTCTTAGACGAAGGTGGTACTTTCTTAGGCTTGGGGGTAACTACTGGGCACTGGGAGAGTCGCCTGCTAAGAGAGGTCCTTCGGAGCGCCATGGTAAACCCGTTGCAAGTTAAGGACTCTGGATTCTGAAAGAGGACTTGGGTTTTATCCTGATTCATTCGGGCTGCCCCAGCTCTGGTCAGAAGGCTTCTGGCTGGTGTGGGGGTTTTAGCTTCTGTTTCTTTCTTACCATCTCTTCCTTGAATTAATTGCTTGAGTCTTCCAGGGTTTATTGCCTTCCCTAATGCCCCATGTCTGACAGCCTGCTTTAACGTCTTCTTCTTGTTGTGGCTGCTTTTGTTTATGTGTAGCTCTGTCCTGACTGGTTTGGAAGGCTTTGCATGGCGGGAACGAGACATGGCTGTCGAGTAGGAAAAGATGCAAGGATGCAGGACACAGAGTCATTGGTCCTTTGCAAAGTCTTCCTTCTGAGGAGAATCCGGAGCTGTTGCCAAGCTCTGTCCCATGAGGTTTTGGTCTAAAACAAACAAACAAACAAAAACTTAGTATCACTATTAGTCTTTGTACTCTACTGTGAAGATATTTCCTAATAAATTAGTAAAGAAACAGAATGTTTACTGCCAAAGAAGAAAATATACAGGTAGTATTTAACTGGGCAGAGTGGCTCAAATTTATATTCCCAGCGTATGAGACTGAGTTGTAGGATATCCTGGGTTACAGTATGAGACTCTCAAAAAAAAAAGGCATTCACAGTGGCTCCCACCAGCAATACCAAAATTGAGGATGATCAGGAGTTTGAGACCATTCACAACCACACAGTGAATTTGAGGTCAGTCTGGGCTACATGAGACCTTGTCTCAAGGAGAGGAAAGAAAAAAAAAAAAAGGAGCTAGGACGGCTTGCTTACCCAGAGGACCTGGGCTCAATTTCCAGCGCCCACATGGTTGCTCACAACTGTCTGTTACTTCAGTCCCAGGGCATCTAACGCCCTCTTCTGGCCTCTGTGAGCACCCGGCATGTTGCTGGGAGCACATACGTACACAAAGGCAAACACTCGTTTTTTGTTTGTTTGTTTGTTTGTTTTTGTTTTTTCAAGACGAGATGTCTCTGTTTGGCCTTATCTGCCCTGAAACTCAAGCCCAGAGACCAGGCTGGCCTTAAACTAAGAGATCTGGCTGCCTCTGCTGGGATTAAAGGTGTGCTCCACCATGCCCAGCTCCTTTTTTAATCTTTTAAAAAAGAGAGACAGGGTTTCTCTGTGTAGCTTTGGAGCCTGTCCTGGAACTCGCTCTGTAGCCCTAAATGTCCTAGAACTAGTTCTGTAGACCAGGCTGGCCTTGAATTCAGATATCCACCTGCCTCTGCCTCCCGAGTGCTGGGATTAAAGGCATGCAGTACACCACCACTGCCCAGCCTGGCTTTTCCTCTTAATTTTTATGTGCCTGTGTGTGCCACCACCACAAGGCAAAAAAAATCAACCACAGTGAGCCAGGTGAACTTCTCCGTGTACTCGTCTTGCAGGTAACCTGTGCTTGCTGCCCTAGCACCCACACATAGGGGGCGCTCCAGAGGTACAGTGTGAACTATCCTCACAGGGCCAAGAATTATCTTACTAACAGCCATTCCAATCGCTACAAATTTAAGTGTCAAGGTATGTTTTTTAATCTCCCATCAAGAAGGCAGGACGAAAAACATACAGAAGCATATAATCTAGGTGCTGGAAAGATTAAATTAAAATTAAAGATTAAATTAAAATTCAGGTATGTGGGCCAGTAATCTGGATAAGCCAGAGGACATCCCGGGATCTGCTTTTGAAAGCGGTTTACAAATTGATCTGTCAATTCTCTGTTTTTAATTGAAGTGCTTAAGAAACTCAGAGTGTAGTTAAATTACCGCTCAAGCTTTATCGGACAAAAAAAAAAAAAAAAAAACAGAAACGGAAAACAGAAATGGCCGAAGAAATGAGGTGCGGAGGTGGACTCGAAGAGGAGGTCTTTTCACAACTGAACAGTTTTTTGTTTTTGTGAAAGAGGTCAGTGACCCCTAAAATCCCAACTATAGAGGAAGAAGCCGGTGACTGAACAGGCAGGCTTCTGAGACAATCAGAAGAATACACGGGCCCCTTGAACTTTACCACTGAGAAGTCACTGATGCAATGGAACCTATTGTGATAAACCAAAGTGTCTCCAAAGGAAGGATGCTTTTTGAAAACCGTGAGGGAGGCCCCCTCCCCCAAAAAAAAGTAATATAGCCATAGTAAGGAGGTTGATAATAGTGATTAATTACAAAATGTGCCCTAAAATTTAACTTTTAATTTTATAAACACTATGCCAGGTATGGTGGCATGTGGTCTTTACTCCCAGCACTCGGGAGGCCAAAGCAGGCTGAGGCCAGGGCAACACCAAGAAAATCTATCTTGAAATTGAAAAAAAAAAATTGTAGACATTATTAAAAACCCAGCTGGGAGAGGGTGGCACACACCTTTAAACCCAGCACTCAAGATGCACAGACATGCAGACTGATGAGTTCCAAACAAGCTTGGGCTACAGAGCAGCTTCCAGGCCAGCCAGGAGTATCCAAACAAACAAAATGCAACCTAAAGCCAAATGTGGTGGATGTCTGTAATCCTAGCAGCAGGCAGAGGCAGGAGAGTCAAAATCAAGGTCAACCTATAGATGTAGACCAGACTCATAAGCATGAAACCCTGTGCACAAACGTTAGGAAGCAGCAGAATCTGAGTTCAGAGCCACTTCCAAGGATAGCCAGAGCCTGTTACAAAAACAATCAACAAAAATGCCATGCTAGGGGTTGGGCATTTAGCTCAGTGGTAGAGCGCTTGCCTAGCAAGCGCAAGGCCCTGGGTTCGGTCATCAGCTCCGGGAAAAAAAAAAAAATGCCATGCTGGGTGGTATATGCCACTAATCCCAATACTTTTTTTTTTTTTCCCCGAGACAGGGTTTCTCTGTGTAGCTTTGCGCCTTTCCTGGGACTCACTTGGTAGCCCAGGCTGGCCTCGAATTCACAGGGATCCGCCTTTATTTATGTGTGTGATTTTTTTTCCTTCCTTTTTTTTTTTATTTTTTGAGGACAATTGAGTTTCAGGGGGCTGGAGATGGCTCGCTCAGCAGTTAAGAGCACTGGCTGCTCTTCCAGAGGTCCTGAGTTCGATTCTCAGTACCCACATGGTGGCTCACAACCATCTACAATGAGGTCTGGCGCCCTCTTTTGACAGGCATGGATATTGCAAACAAAGCACTCATCCACAAAATAAAGGAAACTGAGTTTCATTCAAACTCGGCAGTACAGGCCTCTAATTCCAACTACTTGAATGACTGAGGGAGATTAGAAAATTCATGACCCAGAGTGAGCTCTGGGCAAGCCTGTCCAACTGAGACCCTGTCTCACAATGAAAAGGGCTTGGGAACACCGTAGGTTTAATCCTCAAAAGAAGTTTCAGTATTTTGGAATGTTTTATTCTAACCTCCGAATGTATCCAAGTATCTCAATGCAATATAGCATTGTCTAAGAAAATACACCTGATGCCCCTTTCAGTACACACACATAGCAACGCCCAGGCGAACCTTGTGTCATTAATACCATTCTGAGTTCCTATTGTCTTGGCAGGAAATTCAAAACAAAACCATCAGCTGAGCGGTGGGGGTGAACACACCTTTAATTTTACTAATCCCAGCACTCAGAGGCAGAGGCAGGAGGATTTCTATGAGTTGGAGGGCCAGCCTGGGCTACAGAGAAACCCTGCTGCTAAAAAAAACCCCTAAACACCCAGCCGGTGGTGGCGCATGCCTTTAATCCCAGCACTCGGTTGGCAGAGGCAAGCGGATCTCTGTGAGTTGGAGGGCCAGCCTGGGCTACAGAGGGAGTTTCAGGACAACGAGGGCTACAGTGAAACCCTGCTGCAAAACAAACAGACAAACAAATCTCTGAGACATGAAACATACTGGGGTCGAGGGCAGAAGCCAAGGCCTAGAACATGCTAGGCAAGTGCTCCACCACTAAGTCATACCCATCCAGCTCTCCCCAACCAAGACAGGTTCTTGCCAAAACTTAAGATCCTTCCTCAAAGCCTCACTCAAGTGCTGGGATTGGGGGTATGTGTCACCATAATTTAAATTTATCTAGTCTAATTAGTGAATAGGTAAGTTTAAAACATTGCCTCAGTATGTGAATGTTATGAATTTTTCCCTAAGAGCTCTTAAGATTCTGTTTTGCAATTATTAAAATAATCAGGGCAGCGAGCATGGTTCAGCAGGGTAAAGTCTCTAAAAAGATAAGGCTGAGAAACTGAGTTTGATTCCGAGAGCACACACTAGGACTCCTACAGGCTGTCTTGTCCTCCACAAGCAGTACAGGCACAGCACACTCAGTACACACACACACACACACACACACACACACACACACACACACACACGTGCAATCACTCACAGACACACAGTAAATGTAGTTAATTTTTTAAAACTAAAAATATTTACTTTTAGTACCAGGTGGTAGTACAGCACGCCTTAACAATTTTTTTTTTTCCAAGACAGGGTTTCTCTGTGTAGCTTTGTGCCTTTCCTGGATCTTGCTCCGTAGACCAAGCTGGCCTGGAACTCACAGAGATCCGCCTGCCTCTGCCTCCCGAGTGCTGGGATTAAAGGCGTGCACCACCACCGCCCGGCTTGCTTTTTTGTTTTGTTTTGTTTTCCAGAGCTGAGGACCAAACCCAGGGCCTTGCGCTTGCTAGGTAAGTGCTCTGTCACTGAGCTAAATCCCCAAACCCAACCTTAACAAGTTTTTAAAAATAAAAGTATTTATTGGGAGGCATGCCTTTAATCTCAGCACTTGGGAGGCAGAGGCAGGCAGATCTCTGTGAGTTCAAGGCCAGCCTGATCTACAGAGTGAGTTCCAGGATAGCCAGAGCTACTTGGAGAAATACCTTGGGGTGGTGGGGACATGGGGGGTGGGGGAAAAATCTCTCCATATCCATCCCTCCTTTCTGGATCTCTGGAAGTCCCCTGGGCAGGCAGTGACTGCTGCACGGATGTAACCATTGAGCCACATGTCAGTGTAAAATTAATTATACTGCAATCCTTCCTGTGACCAGCAATGGTCAAAAGCATCATTTGCATGCCTAGAGCTACTTGCAAACTGATTTCAACCCCTTCATTCAGTCCCAGAGAACTTAAAAGGTTTTTTTAACTTGGGGGGAAAAAAAAAAAGAGAGAGACTTAAAATTATTTTTTGAAAAAAGTTGCCACTGGGCTCGGTTTTCCCCACAACTAAGTTCTCCACAGAAAGGAAGGAGGGGCCGGCCGGTGACTGGCGGCTGTTCCTAGACAGTTCACTACCACAGGAAATGTGTTAGCATGGGGCACTCAGAGAGGCTGCTCGGGGAAATACAGCAGCCAGCCGGCAGATGCAGCCTCCTTGTGTATGTAAAACACCCTGACAACCCCGCGGGGGGGGGGGGGGG